TAAAAGCTCTATGGAACTTTCCAAGGAATAGCTGGAATCTCGCACACCTTTCAGGATATTTTCTTCATAATTATTTGTCATTACTGGTATAACTTCAGACACTTCAAAAAGTGCTGATTTTTTTTTTTTTTTCTTTGACGGTATGGTCATTTTCTTTTTTGAGTTTTTTTTGTTCGTTTGTGTTTTTTTTTTTTTTTTTATGTTTGTCTGTTTTTTTTTCTGTGTTTGTTTCTTTTTATTCCAACTCAGTAAAATTACCATCTGATTTTTATATATAAAATGCCCTATTTTCAGATAATCGGATTTTTCTGTACTTCCCCCACACCTTTCCCCAACCATGAGAATGTTTAAATTTCTCAGTTTAATAACATGGGCATCCATAGCAAATACTTATGTTAGACACTATTTCTTAAATCCCAATAATTCAGGAACCAATACCAGGCATCACTAAAGCTAAAAAATATTTCAGTGAGTTAGTACAAACACAATTTCACTTAGCTGGCTCTATATGCAGCTAAATTAAAAACTCATCAGTCCAAAAACAATTATTCAGACAAATTTATTATTCTTTAATTAGGTCAGTTTTCATTACTACTTCTGCATGTTACACACCACAAGTGTCAATATCTGAAGGGAAAAAAAAGTGTACCAAATTGTTTCAAAGAGATAACAAGAAATGTTATATAGCTACAATTCTGTACTAGGAAACATAGACCTTGAGCTACATGGGTCAATTGCAAGGATTTTATTCAATTGTAAAAAAGCAAATTTACCCAAAGAACCAGACGGTAAAATCTGGGACATCTTACAGATTACAAAGACAGTTACAGTCGTACCACCACTTATATCTTGGATATAAAGAGCCTACATTGTAATATCTCCAACTAAAATCTGACTTTATTAGTTTTGCAGTCAGCTTGTTTTTAAAAATAAAAGAAAAATTAGTTGGGGCTGGGGAGATGGCTCAGTGGAATAAGCACTTCCCTGGCAAGTGCAAGGGCCTGAGTTCAATCCCCAGTTCTGCCAAATAAATAAATAAAATAAGTGCACAAAAGGAAAGTCAGGAAATAAATCCTTGGTACTATCCTGTCTTAAGAAAATCACTTCAAAAAAAAAAATTAGTTTAAAATTACTTAAACTATTATTACTCTAATAATAAAGTAACAACCCTGGCAAGCACAAGGGCCTGAGTTCAATCCCCGGTTCCGCCAAAAAGAAAAAAAAAAAAAAAGTAACAAACCGGAGACTTCCAAATACTAAATAATTATACTAAAATTGTTTTTCTGATTTGAAATTAGCTGACCACATTCGGGCAAAAACGGAAGTTCATAATCTAATTTTCTATCAAACACTCCTGTTGATGATTTAAGAAACTGTCTATTCTTAAGCAGCAAAAACATGCTGCTTTCACCAAATTCTTTTTGATTAATCACAACTCATTACTTACTAGTCAACTGTGGCGCCAATTTTAATTGATTTCTAAAAATTACCTTTTAGGCAATTTTGAATTAAAAAAGAAAATCATTCCTAAACAAAAATTAACTATTTCTAATTGCTTTTAAAAGTCAAAGGGTATTCTATTTCATTAAAGGTATCACATGAAAAGCTATCTACAGAGCTGAAGAAATGGTTTACTCTAGGAGATAGATTCCAACTTTAAAACACTTTCAAATATCCTATTCATACTTTAAATAATCCTTAAATTCAAATACAAAGTTTTCACAATGTTATCGGGCCCTCATCAACAAACAAATGTGGATCCTGCTAAGCTTTAAAATTATTTCCAAACATACTAAGAACTTTCCATCCATGATTTTACAACTACACAATTCACAGAATATAAGCATAGTCCCACCATTCTTTCCCTAACCTTCATAAATTATTTAAAAATAACAGTATACACTTACAAAAAAAACCACGTGCTAATTCACATAAGAACTTTAAATTACCTTCTCCTTGAACACAAAGGCAATATACATCTTGAAGTCAAACTGGTCAGCTAGAGATTCTTTTTTCTTTCTAAGCTGAGCACGTAGTCTGTTCAGAGCTTGTTTCTTCCGGGAGTTTGGGTCCCCCATTTTGAAATACAGGTGGTACTAAAGCCTTTGGAAATTGTCACTAAACTATGGGCACTTTTTCTTAAGACTCAAGTACAACAGAAACAAGTCATTTTTCCCTGCTAATATGATTGAATAGCTAAAATCGCAACTGTAACCTCAAAACTGCACCTTCTGGCAATATTAGCAGACTGTCATATTACAGAATCAAGAAACAAAA